CTACAGTATTTTTACAGTCTTTATTTTACAGTTAAAATAAATGTTTATCAAATAAAGTCTAATGTTACAACTAATCATGGATCCCTTTAAGTACCTGGTACACACCTTGTTATGTATATACAGGGTACATTTCGGGGGAACTTACAGGGTGTACATTAGGTACTTACAGTACCAAATGGTACTGTAAAAGTACTTGGTATGTACACTGTACCTGATATGTATCCTTTAAGTACCAGACCACCACAGTACTATAATTACAGTACTGTTACTGCAGTACTGTTACTGTTGCAGCTGTAAACACCCTCCTTCGGCTGTTTGCTCCGAGGATCCAAACGAGGATTAAAATCTAATTTTCCTCTGGTTTAAGAAAAGCCTCAGCAGAGTTAAAGAGTTCTCCAGAACCGAACCGGGTCTCAGAGAAACCCACAAAAGCTGCTCGTCTCCCACAAAGAGCGAGAGAAGAGCTACAATCAGGAGCTCCTCACAACCTTTGAGGGCAAAGAGAGTTTCCTGGAGGCTTCCTGTCACAAAGTTTGGATGTTTCAGCTTCCAGTTCACAGATTTTCACTAAAAAAAAAAGAACCTTTATTTCTCGGCTGAAAGGAGCCTGATGCCTTTCAGACACAGGTGCTGGATCCACGGGTAAACTGGTAAACGGGTCGCTGCTCTGTGAGGAGCCAGAACCGTCCCACCTTTAAAAACAAACATCTTTTTATTTTTGAATCATTTGTGGCGTCGAATCTGAGTCTTTTTCTACTTTATGAATGAAACAAAAAAAACAAAAAAAAAAATTCTAAACTTATTCGTGCGCAGAATCACGAAGAATCATCATAAACGCCCAAATCACAGCTGTTTACCCATAATGCACTGCGGCGCAGTCAGGACGGCGGTCTCACGTGGGACCAGATCTGCTTTATTCTGTCCTAAAAGCCCAGAACTGGAGCCGTGAACCCATCGATRTAAATAAATATTTACCTCTCGTGGTGGGTCAGTGTGTGAAGCAGAACTGCGTTATTCTGGGAAAATAAACAAAATGTTTGCAGCTGGAGTTATTAAAGGTATAAGATATGATTCATTATTATGATAAAAATAMAAACACTCACAGCGTCGTAGATCGTAACGCTTTTATCCACAGATCTGAGGAGAGAAAGAAAGCTGGTGAAGAGCTCCCTCTAGTGGCTGAAGGTGGCCTACTTCATGTAAACGAACAATCCTCTTAAAATAGATCAAAACATGTTGACTGACCTATTTAACATCAACTCACTGATTTATGGTGCAGATTTAGCATCTTTACAGCCCAAACTGAAAACTCTCCTGAGAGACGGCCGGAAATCTTAACGAGTAAAACCGGTCTTTGATGAACTCCACGTGAAAAATAAAACTTCATAAAACTAAAAATTAACAGAAAATAAACAGTAAAACAAAACTAACGAACAAACTGAAAATCTGATTTTTATAAAAGACCGAAACAAACTGAAATTTTATTTTTTCTCATTCTTTTCATTAATCAAAACTTTCGGCTCATTCAGGAGACGGAGTTTAAAAAAAATAAATATTTAACTTTATTTACAAAAGATCTTTTTAAAGAAAGACTCAATATTTTTAGCTGCTGCATTAACTTTTTTTTTTGATTCAACAAACTGAAATCATTTCTGTTTTCTTTAGCGACACTCTGCTTCTATCCTTTTGCTTTCAGCTACTTTTGTTTTAGGTGCCTTTTAGCTACTTTAGCTTTTGTGTAACTTTCAGCTACTTTTGCTTTTAGGTAGCTTTTTATTACTTTTAGCCAGTCTTTTGGTTCATTTAGCTAACATTTTCCTAATTTTAGCATTTAACTACTAAGCTATAGTTAGCTTTTAGCAAGTGCTGTGCTATTTTTAGCTTTAATAAGCCTTTTTGGTTGTAGTTCAGTCACTTATAGCCTTTAGCTAGCCTTTTGCTATTTTTGACTTTTAACTACTTTTCTAATACTTTTAGCTAGCCTTTTGTTTAGCTTTTAGCTACTTTTAGCTTAGCATTAGCTTTACCATTTCAGTTTTTTTGGCAGTGTTTTGTCTGTCATTCGGCTGTCACACTGTGTTTTAGCAGAAGAGGTTTCTTTAGCTTCGTACCCCGACACAAGCAGCCGACCATCTGAGGAGAAGGAGCAGCAGAGAACCGGAGCCGACTGACCCGTTAGCGTGCTCAGGAGCTGCAGCTTCCAGGCTGAAACAACAAAACACACAAAGATTAAAAA